CAAGGATATGTAGGATAGATATCGGTTGACTCTGGACTTGAAGCGATTAAGATTGTAGATGTCAGGTAAGCCTCATCTCGGGAGTCATTTCCTTAAAACAACATTTCTGGGAAAAAATGGCTTTCTTAATGGAACTTTCTGCGCTTACCAAAGAAACACAAAAGAAATCAAGATGATTTGCCAACGTGAACGTGGCATTAATAGAATCCAAAAAGCATCTTCCAGCAATGGTGGCTTACGAATTATTCTCCACCCTCCAATCTCTCTCTCATAGGCGAGCCTCTCGCTGCTCTTTGGCTGCTTGCATGGAAAGTGCTCGGACGAACTATATTCCTTCGTTCCTACAGGTCTAAACTTCAATGGCTAGGACCAGCCATGTCACTTCCATAGTATCACATTCCCTCCGTATTCCAAGGGCGAGAAGTAAGTTCCACTTGAACAGCTCTTCCCACGAAACACTGCCCTGTGGAACAGACTCCCAAGAGAATGGTTCCCGATCACTACAATCGTAACCTGTTCAAATCTAGAGTTAACCATTATCTATTAATTAACTCATCTATCCATATAAACTACCCCCTAACGTAACCATCTACCTCGAGTGGTTCCCAGGTCTGGTACAGGGTGAACCTTACTGTATATATATATATATATATATATATATATATATATATATATATATATATATATATATATGTGTGTGTGTGTGTGTGTGTGTGTGGCATCTCTTTTCTCTTTAGAACATATATATCTATCTCTATATATTTTCTTAGAACATATATATATATATATATATATATATATATATATATATATATATAAAGTTAACATAAAGTCATGCTTATGCACATGACAGTCTGTTTCATGCTTTTTGATGATTCGTATAGCATGAAACAGAAACATATGCTCTAAGTGTTGACTTCTATGTTCACTTTTTATATTTACACACGCTCTATCTCTGATATTGAGCACTTTATCCCATAAATATAGCACACCTTAAGACTATATTTCTTTATATATATATATATATATATGTGTGTTCTAAGAGAATATATATATATAGATATATATGTTCATATATATATATGGCCTGACGATTGCATCTAGCATGAAACAGACTATCGCCTCTAAGTGTTGACATCTATGTTCACTTTTATATTTACACAAGGTCTATCTCTGATATTGAGCACTTTATCCCATAAATATAGCACATCTTAAGACTATATTTCTATATATATATATATATATATATATATATATATATATATATATGAAGAAATATAGTCTATCGAACCAAAAAGAGAAAAGAGATGCCACAAACGTTTTTGTTATGTGGATTTTTAAAAAATATATGATATACTTTATTTGCCAGATTTTTGTGACCTTCGTCAGACGAGGAATGGTTATTTCTACATATTATTTAATTTTTTTCCGTATGGTCTCTGCCGTTTAAACATTGTTTTTTTTGTGTGGTTGTAATTCAAGCTCTTCTTGGACTTCTGGAGAAAATGTTCTTCTGCTTAAGAAGTAATAAAACAATGGATTGATCAGAGAAAGGGTAAAGGATGGTCTTTGTCCTTATCTTTTTATGACCTATGTATCTTTTTAAACCTACCTCCATTTTTGCGAATTGTGTGAGTGTGTGTGTGTGTTTTTG